CCTCGTGCAAACGTACCTGAACGACGTGCCCGTGGACGAATGGACCGTGACTGAGTCGACGCTGCTGCTCTCGGAGACCGATGCGGTCGCGCAGGTTTGTCCACGCCTTCCACTGTAGTATCATGTCAATGTCTTAGAATGTGAATGAGTCGGTCGTGTTGCGCGCAGCGCTGGAGGGCGACACGGTGACCCTCCAGCGAGCAGCTGTAGTCTCTTCCTCCGAGGCAAGTACATACCCAGCCTCGTTCTTACGTTAGTTGATCGACGACCGAGTAGACTACGTGCTTGGATGCGCTGGTGGAGGCGGTTGAAACCGGCCAGGACGACTCGACGCTGGAGCTGTTGAACCACTTGGGGGTCCCCATCAAGGGCAGCGGCGAGGTAAGTACTTCCGACAACCAAATCCCATTAGTCCCATTAGTACCATTCAGAATACTTGGAGTATTAGATTATGGAGGATCTTCTGGACATGCTAAAGCACTGAAGGCTCGTCCAAGTCCTCCAGCGTTCTTGAACTGATGAAATATCCAAGTTCCTTTTTTGAATACACCACGATGGGAAATATATATATATTTATTTATTTATTGATTTATCTAGGAAGTCCGATAATACATATATATATATATAAGTATTTACCTAGAAAGTCACTACGTTGGAGAGGTATACCTCTGAGACCATGGCAGCGTTGCAAGCTGCGGTGACCGCTGGGCATGTGGAGAAGGTGCTGACATTGCTACCTCGATGCGATCTTAACGACCATGATGAGGTAAAAATATATATATAGAAAATATTATGGATTTTATGGTAATATGACGAATACATAGGAGACGTGGATGCTGCTCTGCAGCGCTAGCGATCGTGGCAACGTATTAAACCTCCTGCTTCAAGCACTCGATCTCAACAAAACACTCGAGGTACTGTACACGTACATATATACGTACATATATATATATATATATATTCTAGCACAATGATATAAATATATATGTGTATATACTAGTATTATAATATGCATATATAGGACGGCTCGACACTCCTCCACCGAAGCAATTTCCAGTCAAAATGAACCGGTCGTGGAGTGGCTTCTGCGCCAGCAATCGATCGATGTCAACTACCCAAACAAGGTGGATTTATATATATATATTTGTCAAGAACCAAAATATATATGATTTTTCTAGGACGGGAATACGCCTTTGTATGTAGCGTGTGACCTCATGCACTCGACGATCGTGTCGCTGCTACTCCGCCACCCGTTCATTGACCCCAACAAGCCATCTGGCAACGTATATATATAATTATATTATATATATATTATATCTTGATATTTGACATAATATTAGGACGGACGCACACCGCTGTACAATACGTTCTACAAGGCCGACGGGGAGACTGCAACTTTGTTATTGCAGCACCCATCAACCAACGTCGCCCAGCCAACTCACGTACAACCCCAAATACTAGTAATACTAGTAGTATCACTATGTACTAGGACGGCGCAACGTGCATGGACGAGGCGTGTTACGGGTACTTATCTCGCCAAACCAAAGGTCGGATGCTGGACTTGCTTGTCCAGTACATTCCGGTTGATAAGAGCTTGGAGGACCAAGTTAGTACCCTACTTAGTAATACTATCGTTACGATGTAGTAATCAAAGTGTAGAATTGGCGGTCTCTGCTGCTCAAAGCGTGTGCGCTGGACTTGGTGGACATGGTTCAGATGCTGTGGACTGTCACTGATATCAACCGAGCCATCCACAAGGTAAGAAATATATATATATATGTATAATCATTATTTTGTGAAATATATATATTTCCACTCGCGATAATATATTAGGACGGGACCACTCCGCTGTTCCTCTTCTGCCAACAAGGACAAATCGACCTCGTGCGGCTGCTCCTGCTCCAGCCATCACTTGACGTCAACACGAAAAAAGCCAGCGTAATATATATATATATATATATAATT